ACCACTCTGATGGCAGAAAGTGAGGAGGAATTAAGGAAGCTTGTAATGAGGGCGAAAGAGGAGAGTGCAAAAAATGGTCTGAAGCTCAACATCAAAAAAACTAAGATCATGGCCACTGGTCCCATCACCTCCTGGCAAATAGAAGGGAAAGATATGGAGGTAGTGACAGATTTTACTTTCTTGGGCTCCATGATCACTGCAGATGGGGACAGTAGACATGAAATTAAAGGACGCCTTCTTCTTGGGAGGAAAGCGATGACAAACTTCGACAGCATCTTAAAAAGCAGAGACATCACCTTGCCAACAAAAGTCCACATAGTCAAAGCTATGGTTTTTCCTGTAGTGATGTACGGAAGTGAGAGCTGGACCATAAAGAAAGCAGACCGCCGAAGAATTGATGCTTTTGAACTGTGGTGCTGGAGGAGGCTCTTGAGAGTCCCCTGGACTGCAAGGAGAACAAACCTATCCATCTTGAAGGAAATCAACCCTGAGTGTTCACTGGAAGGACAGATCCTGAAACTGAGGCTCCAATACTTTGGCCATCTCATGAGAAGAGAAGACTCCCTGGAAAAGACCCTGATGTTAGGAAAGTGTGAGGGCAAGAGAAGGGGACGACAGAGGATGAGATGGTTGGACAGTGTCATCGAAGCGACCAACATGAATTTGGCCCAGCTCCGGAAGGCAGTAGAAGACAGGAGGGCCTGGCGTGCTCTGATCCATGGGGTCACGAAGAGTTGGACATGACTAAACGACTGAACAACAACAACCTATACTATTTGCAGAAAGATGTCTTTGCCAGTTCGTGGTATAAGGGATTTATAGAAAAACTACATCTCTTAGGCTTCTCTATGGATTTCTTACTGAGACAGCCTCAAGGTAGCATTAAGCCAATACTTATTCAACATATCGAAGTACCTTCAGTACTCTCTAGCTTTTGCAGGCAAGACTTGTTCACTACTATGTTTTGGCCTAAATTTTAACTTCCCCAAACCGGCTAACTATACCAAATTACAGCACCGAGATATCACTTTGCCTTTTCAAGGGCTAAATTTAATTGCTTTCCCTCAGCCCTTTTAAAAGGGTGTTTTAATAACATGCCATAAGGTGAAAGGATCTGTCCCTGAGGTAAAGAAATTATTGAGCCCTTGGCGCACATCATTTCAGAATATAGCTTACATAGGAACGAACGTTTTTGATATCTTGGCTCGATCATGAGTAAATGTACTGATCTACCTCCCACAGGCTATCTGAAGTTTCTGTTGTCTAAAGAGAATCAAATAATAACATAATTAGTGGCTAAGTTTTTATTTTTGGCCATGATAATTCACAAAACGCTACAGCAAGATTTTATACTACATATTTATTTTATGTATTTATCTTTGTATAACCTGGTGTATGATCGCATAATAAAACTTTACTTTTACTGTATTTGTTTCATTTTGGGTTCCTTTGAAGACTGTCTCTTTTCTTTTAATAATTTTCATGCACTGTTCCCTTTACGTAAAAAGAAAAGCCTTTTCTGCTCATTCATTTTGTGTTTTCCCATGCATGTATTTTGGCATTCCAAAAGTGCTAAAGAACCCTTAAAATCTACTCCAAAAAAGCAGAGGCATGGTGACAGATGTTAAGTCTACTCCCAAAGCAGTCAACACTATAGCCGTCCACCACCACTAACCACAAAGCCCAGGTGCACAGTGGTGCAGTCTCAGTCCACCCTCCTGGCCGAAACACCTCCACAGAAGCAAATAAAACAGTTCTCCAAAAGCCCACCAAAATATATTCCTTTAACAAAATTAACATAGTAAATTATCCAAGTAACAATTTTTAAATTTTAAAACAAATATGGAAATCAAACACACATGCACAAACCCACACACAAGATAGAACAGCAAAATTCACAAACACACCCATCTGCCCCTTCTCACAAAAACCAAGGAAATCAAGCAAACTAATAAAGTCAAAAAATACAGTCAAAGTACCTCCAACCCAGAACTACTAGAATATTAGATTTCTCTGCCCTCTACTACTTGACGCCTTTTCTCTTGAGTCTATCATACCTCAACAAACAGAACAGCCCCAGGCAGCAGTAATAATCAAAGAAAGAGAATGATGGGGGGAAGAAGTGGGGTTAAAATTAATCTGAAGGAGGCATGCTGGCATAGGCAGGCTGCCAGACAACAGCAAAAACATTCCAAAGAAAAAGAGAAAAACAAAACAAACTAACAGAGGTCAAGAAAACAGGGGAAGGGAAAAGGATCAAACTGTAGGCAGAGACAGGAAGGAAGGCACTGAGGCTATAAGGAGCTTAGCAGCACACAGTAATCCCACCCACAAGGAATGACTAAAGCAAAGAGCACTCCTCACTGGGTTCCAATAGAGCCAAACCCTGGATGTTCTTATCAGCTGATAGCAGTCCTTGTTACTGGGTGAAAATTTCTCAGGTAATTTGAAAGATGAAGGATGAAAAAAGGTTACACAAAAGAGGGCCTATGGAAGTAACATTACATTTTTATGTACCCCTTTTGTAAATATGAACTACTCATGTTTTAGACCCTTTCTTCTGAGAATCAATGAAATAGCTCAGAACAGGAAAACTAGACCTCTTTTGTGAAAACACAAAAAGCCCTTGCCTGCTCCTTATTAGAGTAGACCTACTGAATGCATGGGATGTGTTAAACCATATTTCAAATTGCCTACTGTAACAAATTAATTTAAATTGGTACAATGATAAATAATAGTAAAATATGTTCTTTATAAAACTAGGGGCAACTGTAAATATTAAAAATCAGGAAAATGCTCAGGCAGTCAAATAAGTCTAGCTGATAGCAGAAACTGCCCAGACTAACAGTGTGGATCTAGTCCTAATCGACAAGGAGGAACTGGTCTGCAAGAGGAAAATAATGGGAACTTCTGGTGGAAGTAAGTATACTTGCTAGGGACTGGTAATCTTGAGAAATGGGAAGGTTGAAAAAGTGTAATATGCACATTGCACTTTAAGAATAAAATAAGTTTGAAGAAACGGGAAATGCTCAATCATATCTGAAAGTCAGAAGTACTCAAAAAGAAGAGAGCCCATGATGGATGGAAATGTCTTAAGGGTCAGATACTAAAGATTCAATCACAAACTAACTATTTCTACAAGAAAGAACAGAGGGAGATATCTAAGGGAACCAGAGTGGCTACATAAAGAGCTTTCAGATTAGCTATGATTTAAAGGGGGCATGTATATGAAAGGGAAGGAAGGACAAAGGAAGAGTACAAACCAATAGCAAGTACAGAAAGATGGTTAGGAAGGTTGAAGTTCAAAATTAGCTGAGAGGTAAAAACAAGTAAAGGTATTTTTGAGCTGGAAAGAATAGAGTAAATTCTAAGGGACATTAGAGAGAAGGCATAACTTTTTCCACCTCTGTCCTCTTCCTAAAGGAAAACAGTGCTCAGCCTAATGCACTGGTGCACGTGGAAGGGAAGGGGCTTGTGCTCACAATAGGTACAGAGGTGGTGTAAGAATCACTAAAAAGAATTTAGTAACATATTTACAAATTACTTAGATGAGGTCCTGAAGGTAAGGCTAATCAAATTTGTACATGACACCAAACTGAAAGGGGTAACTAATATCTCAGAATATAGAATCAGGATTCAAAACGACCATAACACGTTGGGGAGTTGGGCCAATGAGTTTCAACAGATAAAAATGTGAGATTCTAAATTGAGATAGGAAAAATCAGATGCACAAATATAAGATGGGTGACAGCTGACTAGGCAGTAGTACATGTGAAAAGGATCCAGGGGTCTTAACAGACTGCAAGCTGAACATGAATCAACAGTATAATATAGCAGAGAAAAGTGGGAATGCAATACTTTGTTGCATCAACAGAAAAACAGTGCCCAGAGCAAAGGAATAGTGCCATTCTATTCTGCTTTCCCCACTTGGAATACTATGTCTATACCACATATTGACAACCTGTCCAAAGGAGGGCAATCAGAACAGTAAAATGTCTGGATACTCAAAGCATCAGCTTTGAAATCCTTCAAGACCTTTACATGGGGATTTCCTTGCAGATTAAAGTGGTAATAGGCAAAGTTTTAGTATTATTATTTTTAGCTATATATCAGAATTTAAATATGGTGTGTTCTTTTGCTTGTGCATATGTGTTTTAATCACTGTTACTTGCCTCCAACCTAATTTTTTATGTATAGGGAAGTTTTGTACTTGCCTTATCTTCTAAGTGCAATTTTGTTAGCCGAAGGTAAGACACAGGAGCAAATGCATCTGATGAATGCACAATCACTTCTGATGAATCCCTGCAACACAAACATTTATCTGAGAGTACAAAGAACAATTCAATAATTAGCACTTTATATTTTTTATTATTTTTTCCAAAGCACTGTGCAACAATAAAAACAGAGGACATGAATAATGCACAAAATTAGAATAATACACACAATTAGCATTGTGGCACAGTGGTTAAGCTGCAGTACTTCAGTGAAGCCTCTGTTCATGACCTGAGTTCAATCCAAGGCTCCAGAAGCCAGATCAGTTGACTCAACCTTCCATCTTTCCAAGATTGGTAAATTGAGCACCCAGGTCACTTGGGGGGCGGGATGTAGTCTGCATAATTAAGTTGTAAACAGCCAAGAGAGTGCTTTAAGCAGTATGTGGTGGTATATACATATGCAGCATACTTTGCCTTGTTCTAGAATTCGGTGTTCTTATGGACCATGAAATAGCTGGTAATTTGGAAGGCTTGAAAAAATAGGCATGTGTAACAAGTTGGAACATGTCAAATATCACATGAAGAATAGTCGAAATGCTAATTGTCCTAATTTGAACAACTGTGGATCAGACCTTAGAACCATGTCACACTCATAGCAGAGCCTTTTCTGACAGACTGAAAGGACTAAAGGTCTCTCAAACTCTCTGTTTAATGCATTCCACTTTGTAGGAAAGGGTGAAGTCTCAGAAAAAGCTTCTGGACAGAAGCATAACAGTGTTCAGTCTGGTCCCAGACATTCTTGGAGGAAATTGCTCAGTAAGAATTCTGCCAACTACTGCAACATCTGGTTCCCTTTGCTACTCCAAGCGCCACGGCCTCTTACCACAGATCAGAATGGAAAGCCCACCTACTGGTAGCTAAAAGCAAAAACACATTTAGGGTGGAGTAATTAAGCTCCAGTTGTTCTTATTTCTCTGTTTCGCTGTTGTTTTGTTGTCAAGCTGGCTGCTCTTTATTACTATGTTACCTTTAGGGATGCAAGAGAAAGATATATCTTGTTGAAGTGTTTTATTTGGGGGTTTTATTGGAATGTTTTTATTTGATTAATTTTAATTATAAATTTCTTATTTTACCTGTATTTCACCGTTAGCTGCCTTAACTATGCACTAAATCCAACACTGTGCTAGCAACAGCAACGGGACCTTCTTTTTCTCCTCTCCTATTGTAGCCCTTTGGATCAGCCGAAAGCCAGCTCCAGAGCCAGTCTTAGGGTGCATGAAAGGCTGCAGAATCCCAGTTGTCCTGGAATCTGCTGTTCTGCCAGCAGACATCCATCATGTGATTTTGCCCTATAAACCTCAGAAACTTTTTTAAAAGGCAAATATCCAACAACATTTATCTACCAGCTTCCACAACATTTCTTGCTATTTATCTTAAATACTTTTGTAATACCCTTCAATTATATTACTAAGGACAATAAAACAATCAAAATATAAATGTGTGCACACAAAATGAGAAACTAATGGTCATTCAATCATGGGAGGGGGAAAAAATCAAAGATCCTTGTGGTACCATAATGATTAGCAATTTTCCATTGGCAAAAATTTTTATGGATAAGAACCCACATCATCTAGCCACCTAGAGTGGTCCTTAGTTGACCAGATAGGTGGGATATAAATAAAATAAATAAAATAAATAAATAAATACAGTTCACAAAATCTATGACAAATAAAATGTCTTTGTTTTGAAGTGTTACAAGATTCTGGCAATATCTTACCATTTATCGCAACTCAAATGGACTCATCAACTCAGTGGGATTTGCATAAGTGTAGAGGTATCATACAGTAATTAATTCAGTGAGTCTAGTTTAGTTCAGACTATCAACAGAGCACCACCAATTTTTGTGCTTTCTTCCTTAAATTAAGAGAATTAAGGAAAAGGGTTCTCCCCCCCAATTTGGATCCTAACATCATCAGTAAGAGATGAAGCATTATGAAGATAGGATGACACAGAGCAGATGCTAAGGATGGGATGAAGAAACAGTCTTTCTTCTATTTGAGTCCTAACATTATCGAGAAGTGATGAGTAGCTCTATGAAGACTGTAAACAGAGGATGTGAAAGGCGGTTTGGTTACACCCCTCAAAAAACTGAAGATTCACAAAACCGTCAGCATATTCTTTAAAAACTTGGGAAAAAATGAAAAACACTGGAAAAATAACACAGTAGCTGCTACGCAACTTCTCAGGGATAGTAAATCAGCCACAAAGAAACTTCTCCACTGTAGCCACCAACCTTACCTCAGGATGGCAATGAATACCTGAAGGGACACATATACAATCATTTCAAGGATGTGACCAAGTAAAATGAAATGCTGTTTCTATCAGACAATGGTTCTCAATTGTATATTGTCCAGACGATACCCGTTTAGCACGCCTACGATTTCTCACCTTTAGCCATAGTGGACGAGCATCTGGGACGAGGCACCCTAGCAACAACTGAATACATTAACTTGAGAAAGAATGGGGGTGAAACTGATACTAAAGAGTTAGTAGTGCATTGACATCCTTCACCTTTCCCCAGCATTACAGGCTTTGGCACTGAGTCTTGCCTTCTCATGATGTGCCCAAAGGAGAACAGCCCTCTCTAGTTCAGTTAGTTTCGTTCATAAGTGAGTTTAGGCTTGATTTGATTCAGCACTCATTTATTTGTGTTTCCAGCAGCTCACAGTAAAGCTCTCCTTCCATACAATGTTTTGAATGAACTGATTCCCTCCATCCCCCAACTTTCCTCAATATTTAGCTTTCACAATGGCACATAATAACTGGGAATATCACAGTACCGATTATCTTGATCTTGGTCTCCAGCAACACATTCTTACAACTGGAGTTTTTTTCTCTCCCTAGTTCCTTTATAGCTGCCCTTAAAGGTCTCATTCTTCCGATCTCTTGGCTGCAGTTTCCATTAGGAATGATGACTGAACTGAGGGAGAGAAAATCTTTTAACAATTTCTAATTTTTTTATTGCAAACATTTTTGCAATTTTTGGTAGTCCTGTTTTTGTCTCTTAGAAACCTGAAAATACCCTGGAACACTTCAACAATTCTATCTAGTTGCCAACAGCTTTTAAGACTAGCTGAAGCCTATGGCTAACCCTGCTCTTTTGCAGATCCTCGTGTGGTAGTAGCATAGAATGATATAGATATAACCCTTAAAGGCATTTTTAGCTGGCAAAAATTCTACCCAGATCAATTCTGTGTTTATAGGGAGGGTGATTTTTACAGCATTTTGCCCAAGTGTAGCCAAATGGGCTACTCCCAAGTGAGCCATTTGAAGACTGTAATCAAATTACGCCTTCACCATGACTATTGGTCTGAAAGTGGTATGGAGTAGACAGTGATACTGTTTTATTAGGCAATCTGTAAACCCAGATGAAAAAGGGATAATAGCAGTCAAAATATATCCTTTAATAAATGCAGGGTAAGTTATTTACCATAATTGTACCGACAAATCTACATAGGAATAAAGAAATTTCTTGTACCTCTACACATACATTTTAAGAATTTATGGCAAAGAAATAACCTACTCAGTGCAAATTGGGCTGATTCAAAACATTAAGATTCAAAAACATCCTTTAGTAATTCAAGCAAAATGTTTAGCATTATCATCCTAAGTTGCTAATGTTAAAAGGGAGGAAAGGGAAAAGAGAAAGAGAGAGAGAAAAGGGAAACAGAGTTAATGGAACCCACAGGCTACTGATGTGGCAGTTTATCAAATGTAGCTGTAATGAAAGATAAATATTACAGGCAATTCGCACTTCATGAAAGGATAAAAGTGTCAGTGTGTAGGTACCAGTTTTACTGCAGGCCATAATCAGCAAGTAAACGAAAGTGCAAATGTCTAAAAAGTTTATAGCTTTCTATGAAGGCCTCGTCTTGTCAGGCATTGATTTAGGTTAGTGGAGGACTTTGCCAGTGTTAAACAAAGTGAGTGTTTGTGAACTTAGAGGACACGTTCCTCGGCTGCCAACAGAAGTGGCCTCAAGCGAAATGTTAATATGTTCCCAGGACGAAAATTTAAAGGAAAGGAAAGGCACAGATCCTTACACCACTATTTTCTTCTTAAACAGAGGGCAATCCAAAGTGAATGTTTCATATTCTCCACCTTCTCCACAGATATGGCCTCCATACTTCTTAGAGAGCTGAAAAATAAAAAAATAAATGTTATCCAATATAGGAGAAAACACGTAAGGACATGTGGCCCTCAGACTTATGTTGCACTGGTAGCAGACGCTTAAATCTTGTGCATCCAAATGCTAATCCAAGCTTAATTAGTTGCAAATCCCACTGTTTTGAATGGGGTTCATCTCAAGGTAATGTTACAGCTTGAGAAACTACTAAGGTCTTCCATCCATTTCCTTCCTTCTGTGGCAGTAGGAAATAGAGATTCAGAAGTGAACTTTGGGTTAGGGCAATGGTTCCCAGCCTCGGGTCCCTAGAAGTTCTTGTACTAAAATTTCCAGAAGCCTTCACCACTAGCTGTCCTGGCAAGAATTTCTGGGAGTTGTAGTCCAAAAACATCTGGGGACCCAAGGTTGGGAAGCACTGGATTATGGCAAGATGCAACAAATGTAACATAGTGTGGGATCACTGTTCATGCATTTGAAAAGCTTATTAGAACTCATAGCCTGTTGTTTGGTACATGTGCTTATAAATCATACATATCAGCAACACCAGTAAAGCATTCATTGAATTAATTAAAAACAATAGGAAGTCGGTATATATTCTCATATAATGTTTTTCATATAGTTTTATTCACATGGAGGTAAAACTACCTGGACTGGCATTGCTTCTTTTGGTTATTTTTCCCTCTGACCAAATGATACAAAGCTGAATCCAGTGAAATCCATGATTGTTTCCCTGCCTTCCGTGCTTTTTCAATCTCTTCAGGAGGCCTGTATTATTCAGAATCAAGCTTTGTTGTGGGGCTGGAGTGGAGCTTAACACTAGAGCCCTTACTGAGCAGAACTTATTTCCTCACCAGATGCTCCTTGTTCAGAAGCTATCAATTAATCCTTTAACTGGCTTTTAAAATAGATGACAATGTCCACAAAGTATTGTAAGTAGGAATGTGTGCTTCATATTCATATCTCGAGGATATGAATATGAGCCGCAGTACCACAGTGCCATGGGGGCCCAGTTTCCTCCCCCAGAACCGTCCAGGCTATTCACTGGGCTCTGTGTGGCTCTGGGGTCCTTCATCATCATGGGTGTGCCAATCCCAACAGGAGCCCAACTGGCCCTTCCCTTCTTCCCCACACAGCCAACCACCTCAGCACAGAGGCAGGACAGGTTGTCTCCCTGCTTAGCCAATGAGTGCTTGGTTGAGCCCCAAAACTCAAAACAAAACACAATTTCAGTGAAAAGCATTAAATTTCACTGAGTTTTCAGTGACATTTCTATTAACTACAGAAATCTAGCATATGATTTTTCCAGCTGTATTGGAACAGATAGGACATCTAATACAATCATGGATGGGGGATAGGATGCTTGTAAAGAACAACCACATTATAAGCTCTCTAAACAAAAAACCTGCAGCAATTATGAAATAATACAATTTCACCAATTTTAGGACAAATCATGAAAAACTACTTATAACACAGATGTAGGAAACATGTCAGCCTGGCTCCTAACTTGCACTATCTCTTTTATTTGCTACATTTTCATTTTATCTTTAAACCCAATAGTGCTTTTATATCCCTCATACAAGAAAGAAAGTGGAGGAAATTTGGTGTAGATGGCAAATGGGAGGTCAACAGGGAGGATTAACACTTCCACATGATTAACAGTCTTGACCTTCCTAAATTTTTGGAGGTTGATGACAACATATCAAGAGTATCTATTCCTTCTTTCTTAACACCACTTTCCCCATGCTCATGTTGCTGGACAGCAATACTTTTGTGTGTCTACAAAGAAAATTCCCCTTAATTTCAGGTGTGTAGTCACTTACTTAATGGTAAGAAAAGGAGGATTCAACATCTAGTATAAGTTATGGTATAAACTCCACCCAGTGCATGTTCAAATTAAATCCCAAATTGTATCAGATGAGTGTATGAATATTCCATTAAGTCTGTGCTCTTTTAGAGGAGTAGGAAAATAATGTATTTCACACAGGCCTTCATAAACCTGGAATGAACCTCTGCAAGGTGAAGACAGCATACTGCAGAAGCAGAAGCACATCATGACATTTGAATGCAGCAAAAGTGTGCCTGAATTTAATCCTTTTATTGGACTCCTGATCACATTTTTAATCTACCTGCCTGACTATACTGGAATATTTAAGAGGACTCTTCTGCTTTCATTCCCCTTCAACCTTTTACCTTGGGGAAATATATATAGCTCAAATGAAGATGTTATCTGTCATATAATTAAATCATGTCTGTTTACCCATTTTGGATGCTAAATTGAAATCTTTTTTTCAAATAAAGATCAAATTATCTTCCCCAAGCCTACGTTATCAGACATTTTCCTTTTAATGAGAGAATATCTCTTTGTCTAAAAATAACCAAACATTCACTTAATCAAGCTTTCACTTCCAAAGCTCACACTGCTGACATAAAAGATAGCTCCACCTGTCAGAAGCTGCTGTAAGGTTCTTGTAGGACAAATCCATCAAGAATAATTAATGCTGATGCAATAAGAATGGACAACTTACAAAACAGTTAGTCAAAACAGCTTATTCTTCTTTCTGCCAAAAACTACTGCTGAAAAGCTGCTTGAAACAAGAGACCCACACCAGGTAGAAGGAGTCACAGCAGGCATTTAAAAGGCCTATATTTAGAGCAAGCTGGCTGGTGAGGTAGGCTGCAGAGCCAAAGGTTGGGAAGTTCAATTCTCCTATGTGCATCCCAGCCGGTATTGCCTCAGTCGAGCTGAACAGTCCCGGGATGCCCCCAGAAAAAGGGAATGGTAAACTATTTCTGGGTATTCTCTACCTAGGAAACTCTAAAAAGGGTCATCATAAGTCAGAATTGACTTGACGACACATTATTGTTATATTTAGAACAACAGAACAGATGTCTACTCTTCTTCATTAGTATCCTCAGCAGGCATAACAAGTTTGAAATAGTAACTGTATAAAGGTTTTCTGAATTTGTTTATTGTAATATTACCTCTTTGGTGCCACAAATCCTTCCTGGACACCAACATCAAATGATTTAGATCTCCCAGTGGATTATTTTTTATCCATGGCTGGAATACCCAAGCTTCCTGTATGAACAAGTGCTTCTTTTGAATTTGCTTTCAAAGTTGAGGTGTACACCAACCCCTATCAGCAGATGGGCATGTTTTCCTTGTAACTTAATTGAGGCTTTAAAGTGGAAGGCGTAATAAATGTAATGCAAGGCTTAAGAGGCTCAGAAAAGGTCCTAGAAGCTGGTGATTTTGCCCCTGCTGGCCCCGTGGGGGGTGGGGGGAGCCTCGCAAGGGTCCTGGAAGGCTCCCTCAGACCCTTGTGAGGCTCCCCCCATGGGGCGAAATCGCCAGCTTCTCTACATAAGACGCATAGACTTCCCCCCACTTTTTTTTGGGGGGGGGAGTGCATCTTATGGAGCAAAAAATATGGTAATACATTTAACCCTGCAAACAACTTCAAAATGTAACTATGAATCTCTGAAAGCTGCTGAATGTATCTGATTTCTGTGCCCTGGGAAGCAACATAGTAAAAGCAAACTGACAGTATTTTAACTTCATACAACAGCGAAATGAAACAAATAATTAAGGTGTAAACTTTTCAGTTCGTTATATTCGCGAAGGCTTTCACGGCCGGGATCTAATGGTTGTTCTGGGTTTTTCGGGCTCTTTGGCCATGTTCTGAAGGTTGTTCTTCCTGACGTTACACCAGTCTCTGTGGCCGGCATCTTCAGAGGCATCTTCTGAAGATGCCGGCCACAGAGACTGGCGAAACGTCAGGAAGAACAACCTTCAGAACACGGCCAAAGAGCCCAAAAAACCCAGAACAACCATTTTCAGTTTGTATTTGATATGCAAAGCAATGCAACATTTGTAGCATGTTCCTTGCACCAAACCTATCCTTGTTGTTATCTGCCGTCAAGTTGCCTCTGACTTATGGTGACTCTATGAATTATATCTCTTGAAACGTCCCATCCTCAACCGCTCTGTTCAGCTGTTACAAACTCAGCCTATATTTCTTTCATATTGTGTTTATGGCTGTAGTAAAAAACAAACAAAAAACAACAAAAACAAAACAAAAGGTTGAGAACAGGTGTTCAATATGATTGGCTTATTTAAGTGAATTTGTTTGTGGAATTCAGTGTAGCAATAGCAGTTTAATTAGGCAAAGACAAGTAGTCCAATCTCCATCTTCCTCCCATTTTGGCCCCAGGTTGTTTCTTCGGTAATCTGACTGTGATTTCAAATTGTGTTGTTCTGTTCTCACTTTTCCCCCTTGGGTCTATCAGTACTGTACACATGTTAATCAGATACAATGACATACACTTGAAGATGTGAGCTATAGTCCACAGGAACTTGTGCAAATAAAACCTATTTTAGTCAAATAAAGACTCTTTGTAATTTTTGACAAGGTTCTTTGTAATTTGTGAGGTTCTAGGGAATGCTCTATTTAAATATCTACATTTAGATATTTAAAAGGTTTCTTAAATGTTTTAAAATTTGAAATCTTTAGTTTTTTTAAACATAGTTTTGTATAGTATTTTAAACTTGTTACAATTGTTCAGTATTAATTGTTGTGAGCCACCTATGTAATGAGCCTCACTAATGTAATGTTTTTGTGTGCAGGCAGAAAAAGGTTGCCACCATTTGCATCTTCCAGTGCAAGTCAACTAAAGATGAAAAGAGTAAGATTTTCAAATTTAAAATTGGGTTCGGGTCTAAATTGGGATGAATTGGACTTCCAATCAATCGGAACAAAACTGCAGTTCATCCCGAGTAATAAAATCATGCCCAGAACCAAATCTGGGGAGGGGAGGACTTTTCTCTTGTGGCTATATATCAGATACACACTGTACAGCTCTAGTGAATGCACAATTTCTTTTAAATGGTATCTAATTTTTTTTCTCTGTTGGTGGTAATAGCTTTTAATTCTTCTAGCTTCATATTACCCATCTAAACTCTATCCAGTATAAGTAAATTCTTCAGGGCTGCAACGTATCAGGGTTAACTT